TTTCCTTACTCTCAAAAGTAATAAAGAACAGATAGAATCAAGCATTTGAAATGTATTAAAATCGACCCAAATTGATTTAAAAAAAATAAAGAAATACAGGTAACCAAGGTGACTAGATTTAACTCTGAAGAAATGAAAGAAATTAGGAAAAAGTTATCATCATAAAATACTTCATTAAATCATTTTGTTCATAGAACAGACTGGTTCTATAGTTTCAAAGGATAGAGGAGAAAAGTTGATGAAGGGATGGGACAGAAAAATAATTTAAAATCCGTAACACCCCAAAACTGATTTAGATCTTGATTAAATAACCAAGTGTTAAAAATATCACTGAAATAAGATAATTCAAATATAACCTTGGGGTTAAATGATGTGTAGGAATCATGAATATGAAAATGCCATCCTGGTTCTGTTCTTCAAATATCCTTGTGAGTTACAGGTATATATACTTGTATAAGCTTAAGGTTTCTGGGTGCTTTACTTACTTTGCCATGTATTGGCCTTGCTAGAGATGCACAGTTCCAAGATACATGCACATGTGCACTCACGGGTACACACGTGCACATGCATGCACGTACACGCACACACATACAAACAGATGTATTTGCTACATGTTATAAAGACCTTTCCTAAAAGAGTTTCTGTATCTGAGATCCAGAATTTCATTTTTATTAATTTTTAAAAGGTTGTACTGGGGAGGCTTTGTAGAACTTCCATATCTCTTTGTCTTGATCTAGATGAACCCCCAAAGAAGAACAAAGGTGATCCCATGAACAACCTGGAAGGTTTTTACCACGAGGCTATAATGAAAAAACGTCTTGAAGAGTTCCAACTTATGAGAGGTGAACCCTTTGCTTCCCACTCACTGGTCTCAGCTACATCAGTGGGTGATAGTGGCACAGCTGAGAGCCCATCACTACTCCAGGACAAGGGGAAACAGGCAGCACAGGGTAAAGGCCCCAGTCTCCATGTGGCAAAAGTTATTGATTTTCCACCTGAGCAATGTTGGACTGGGCCTAAGAAGCTGACGCAACCAGTAGAATTTATCCCAGAAGATGAGATCCAGAGAAATCGTTTGTCAGAGGAAGAGATCCGAAACATTCCTGTGTTTTCTTCATATAATCCAGGGGAACCAAACAAGGTATAGGCCAAATCAAGAAAACAACATGGCTTGTTTTCACTTTTATTTACCTCTACCTAAAGTAGCATTTTAAAATTACCTTTGATTATGCCAAAAATGTGACATAGTTATACTGATTCTGTTTTTCCTTGACCTTAACCATAATTTTCTGCATACTATTTAAGTAGCCTATTTTCTACCGTGTTCTGTGTGCCTTTCTTAGGTTCTAAAGTCTCCTCAGAATTTTTTAAATATCATAATGAGATTTACCTACTAGAACCTCTGGGATACAGGAAAAAGTAACCCACCAATTTCTAGTGATTGACCCACTGATTGTGGGTAGTGTCAACAGCACAAATCTTTGCAGCATTAATTTTTTTTTCTAATTTAAGGATACAGAATTAAAATAATGAAACATTCCCTGAATTAAAAAAAAAATGTATGGAGGGCTACAGAAGTACTTTAAGTGACTTTCTGAAGTACTTCCAGTTCCTAGGGTAGGCAGCTCAACTCCATGTACTTTTTGTCATGAGCTCTTACTTCATATCCCACAAATACATTATGGAATATCTGTATACTTAGATAGCCATGTTTACAAAGATTTAATAATCTTTCATATTTGCTTCATTTTAAAAATTACTAAAACATTTCCAATTTAGGATATTTTCATGTTACAAACGATTTATCAAGAGTTGACCCTGTCTTTAGCCAAGTTGCATCTTAGCTATTCATAAATATTTATAGATATTCATACAATTTTATACATTTTTAAAACTACATAGATAATGCCATACTCTACATATATTTTCTGTTACTATTTTGACTCAATATACCCAGTATTTGGAAATTTTATTTCTAAGGATATAATGAACTATTTACTATCCCATTATAAAAACATGCTATAATTAATTTGTCCATTTTGTTGATGATTTGTTTCCCCCTCTTATTTTACTAATACAGATAAAGCTGTAACAACATTATTGTTCATATTTTTTTCAGTACTATAGATTGAACCTAAAACCTTGTGAATGCTAGGCAAACCCACTACCATTGAGCTATAGCCATAGACTTCTTTTTCACGTTTTATGTTGAGACAGGATTTCACTAACTGTGGGCTAATATTGAATTCACTTTGTAGCCCAAGTAAGCATGAATTTGTGATCTTCCTGCCTAGGCCTCCTAAATAATGGGGATTCTAGGCTTAAATTACCAGGCTTGGCTTATGCACATCTCTTACTGTCCATGTACAAGCATTCTTCCTAGACAATATTTTTCAAACTTAACTTACAATTCATAGTTCACACCAGTGGTGTTTTATTTTTAAGAATATAAATAGAAGAATAGAACAAAATAACAAATCAAAGTGTATCCCATATAATTGTATTCCACAAAATTGATCACCGTTTCTTAAAACTTTATATTTTGTGCATGCATATATATGAGAGAATATGATAAAGAAGTAGTTTATGTGGCCTACAGTGTTTAATGCAATTCTTCCTGTAGATCTCAGGCAAAACATTGGAAAATATATCACTCTCTTATAATGTCTCTTACGTTTTAGCAGAAATGAAAATCACCTGAAGGAGTTATTAAAACACCACTAGATATTTGGCTTAGTGGATCTGAAAAAATGGTATGAAAATTTACCCTCCAACATGTTCCCAGGAAACACTGAAACTATTGGTCTAAGAGGTGGAATTTACAGAATTGCTATTATAGGTTGTATACCTAGGAATGAAATTAGTGTGATACAGTATATTTGTTTTTTTAATTAATTATTTTTTTATTTATTATACTTTATTCACTTTATATCCCAGCTGTAGTTCCCTCACTCATCTCCTCCCAATCCCATCCTCCCTCCCTCATCTCCCATGCCCCTCCCCCAGTTCACTGACAGGGGAGGTCCTCCTTTCCTTCCTTCTGATCCTAGCCTATCAGATCTCATCAGTCCTGGCTACATTGTCTTCCTCTGTGGCCTGGTAAGGCTGATATCCCCTCAGGGGGAAGTGATCAAAGAACTAGCCACTGAGTTCATGTCAGAGACAGCCGCTGTTCCCATTACTAGGGAAACCCACTTGGATACAGAGCTGCCATGGGCTACATTTGTGCAGGGGTTCTAGGTTATCTCCATGCATGGTCCTTGGTTGGAGAATCAGTCTCAGAAAAGACCCCTGTGCCCAGGTTTTTTGGTTTTGTTGCTATCCTCATAGAGCTCCTGTTCTCTCCAGGTCTTTCATCTCTCCCTTTCATAAGATTCCCTACACTCTGCCCAAAGTTTGGCTATGAGTCTCAGCATCTGCTTCATTCACCTGCTGGGTAGAGTCTTTCAGAAGCCCATGTGGTTGGCTCCTGTACTGTTCCATTTTCTCCCTGTTCCGATTATCCAGTTTGCCTTTCTGAATGAGGTTTGAGCATCTTACCCAGGGTGGTCCTCCTTGTTGTTTAGCTTCTTTTTGTTGTTGTTGTTGTTACTTTTTTTAATAATTGCTTTTAATCCATTGATAGGCTTACATTTAAAGCAACTACTATGAAGTGTTTTAAGTTTTCCTTTTTTTATTAATTTTTTTATATTAATTACAGTTTATTTACTTTGTATCTCAGCCGTAGCCCCCTTCCTCATTCCCTCCCAATCCCATCTTCCCTCCCTCATCCCCTCCCTGCCCCTCTCTTAAGTACACTGATAGGGGAGGTCCTCTTCCTCTTCCATCTGACCCTAGCTTATCTTGTCTCACCAGGACTGGCTGCAATGTCCTCCTCTGTGGCCTAGCTAGGCTGCTCCTCCCACGGAGGGTAGGGAGGTCAAAGAGCTAGCTGTAGAGTTCATGCCAGATACTGTCCCTGTTCCCCTTACTAGGGAAGCCACTTGGATACTGAGCTGCCATGGGCTATGGCTACGTCTGAGCAAGGGTTCTAGGTTATATCCATGTGTGGTCCCTGGTTGGAGAATCAGTCTCAGACAAGCCTCTGTGCCCAGATACATTTGGTCCTTGTGGAGCTCCTGTTCTCTCCAGGTCTTACTAACTCCCCCTTCTTTCATATGATTCCTTGCACTCTCCCGAAGGTTTGGTTATAAGTCTCAGCATCTGCTTTGATACACTGCTAGGTAGAGTCTTTCAGAGGTCCTCTGCGGTAGGCTCCTGTCCTGCTTCTCATGCTTAGCTTCTTTAGGTGTATATTTTAGTGTGTTTATGATAGAGGATATTTATATTTTCCTTTTCCTCCTTCTTTTCCTCTTCCTTTTCCTCCTTCTCCTCTTCTTCTTCTTCCTCATCTTCCTCTTCCTCCTCTACTTTTAGTTGTTTGAGACAGGGCTTTTCTGTGTCACTCTAGCTACTTGCTCCTAGAACATGCTCTATAGAGCAGGCTAGGCTCAAACTCAACAGATACACCTGCCTCTACCTCCAAAGTACTGAGATTAAAAGTAAGTAAGTAATTAAGTAAGTAAGTAAGTAAGTAAGTAAGTAAGTAAGTAAGTAAGTAAGTAAAAACGATGCTACCACACAGATAACAAGCAGTATTTCAGAGATTTCCCTCATCTTTGCCAAGAGTTTATATTAGACCTTTAAATTTACCTAATAATTTAGACAGGTAATTGCATATTCCTCATGTAATGATGTACGTGTATTTTTACAATTATTAACTATTCTCCTACTCTCTGTGAGGTAACTTTCTGTTTCATTGTCCATCGTTTGATATTTTTGCCCTCAGTATTTATTTATAAGGTTTATTTTTCATTTTTTAAAGATTTATGTTTATATTTTTATAAGTGTGTGTGTGTGTCACATTTGTGAGAACAAGAATAAAGAAGAGAGGTATTTGGACTACCAATTTCTGATTATTTTCTGAAAATAATTACATTCTTCTAGCCATACATCCAGAAATCTCAGAGAACATGAAGCAACATGAATACTAAAAACTACACGTAACCATAAATATTCAAACTATAGAAAGACAAGACAAAAAAAGGGAATACTTTGTATAGGATGAAAATACATCAGTTATCACAAGGCAAAAAAAGCAAGAAGAGTATGGAATGAAATATTTATGTTTTATAAGATATAATAAACATAATGAAATCTATACACCTAAAAAAGATAATCAAGAGAGCGGACATGGGGTAAGATTATCAATCTGCGTTTTGAAAGACAGATGGGATGCGCATTGAACATTGACAGGAGTCTACTAAGCGCATTGGAAAGACTCTAACTAACAGTGTTTTCAAAGCAAAGACTCATGACCAAACCTTTGGCAGAGTACAGGGAATCATAAGAAAGAAGGGGAGTTAGTCTGATGAGGAAAGGATAGGAGCTCCAAAAGGACCAAATATAACTGGGCACAGGGTCTTTTCTGAGACTGACATGCAACCAAGGACCATGTATGAATGTAACCTAGAACCTCTGCTCAGATGTAGCCTGTGGTAGCTCAGTAACCAATTGGTTTCCCATAGTGAGGGGAACAAGGACTATTTCTAACAGGAACTCAATGACTGGCTCTTTGGCCTCCCCACCCCCCAAGGGAGGAGCAGTCCTGTTAGGCCACAGAGGAGAGCTTTGCAGCCAGTCCTGAAGATACCTGATAAAACAGGATCAGATGAATGGGGAGGAGGTCCCCCCTATCAGTGGACTTGGCAAGGGGCATGGTGGAGATGAGGGAGGGAGGGAGGGACTGGGAGGGAATGAGGGATCGGGACACGGCTGGGATACAGAGTTAATAAAATGTAACTGATAAGAAAAAAATAAAATACAAAAAAAAAAGAATTCTCTCATTAAAAAAAAAAAGAAATATTTATGTTTAGAAAAAAAAATCCCATCTACCTAGAAGTCTATCCAGAAAACTTATCTTTTCAAAACAGTTGAAGTAAAATAAGTTTCTCAAACAAGAATGTAGAGAATCTGTCATAATAAAGTCATTCTCCAAAGTTGAAGAAAATTAGGAACTTTAATAATTTAGATCTATGTAAATGAAGAACTTTGAGGAAAGAATACACAATGATAAAATTATTTTCTAATTCTGTTAAACAG